AGAAACCAAAGAATGGTACCACTTGAATCTAAATGACGATCATCGAGAGATTTGTTTTATGCAGGATCCTGTACATATTATCACTAAATTGAAAACTCGTTTTTTAAAAACAGGAATTAATTTACCAATGGGAGAATTTACTGCAAGTGTCAAGCACTTAGAAACTCTTTTAAGCGACAATGGTAAAGATAAACATCTCCTAAGTAAGTCTGATCTGAACTCTGAAGATAAAATGAATTATAGAAGTGCAGAAAAGATTTGTGACGATCGAGTGCTTCAACTGTTACAAAATATTCCAGGAAGTAATGCTACCATAATATATTTGAAAGTCATGAATTATATTATTTCATCCCTTATCAAAAAAGACGAAAAGTTATGTGACAGAGTCTATAAAATCTGGTATTGTATATTTGTTCTCCGCTATTGGAGAAACTGGATAAAAACGCAAAGCGATTTTACGCTGCAAAATAACTTTATAACTTTGAACGCATACACGTGCATCGAGCTTAATGGTCATACATTAATAAAATTAATAAAACTCTTTCAATCTGATGATTGTTTGAATAATACCATGTTTTTGCCATGGGTTTTTAGTAGTCAGCCATGTGAGAGCTTATTTAGAGCTGCTAGATCTATGACGTCCACTTTTTCAACGATGATAAACTTTAGCATCAAAGATTTTATGAATAAAATTGATCGAATTTCATACATTAATTTTGTTTTGAGTGACCTTAGAGAGCAATACATATTTCCTAGAGAAAATAGGTCTACTAAAACAAAAGTTGAATACCCATCTCGGGAAGAAATTATTAACATCGATATTGACCTAATTGTTAATAGGGCAATGGATGATGCCTACAAAGACCTGGAACTCTTTAGCTTTAATCAAGACAGGAAAGTTGCTAATGAATTAGATATCAAACTTCCAACACAGTCAAATAATGAGAATGAAAATGATGTTCAATTGCATGACCCGAGCCAAGACCTTATTGAGACATACGACACTGCTTCTGAAGATACCATTTTTAATACAGTTTTAGCTAATGAGGCGGATTTAAGTATTATTGGCACTGAAGATTTGCTTAATATAGATTTCGATCTGAAAGATTACTCAAGTAAAAATCTAATTTTAACAGAAAATTGCCCATATTTGAAAGTGACCTTACCTAATGATAAATCTGCAGTGATTAAAAAGTCTTCTTTTTGTTGGCTTCTCGACGAAGGCAGTGGAAGAATCAGTACAGATAGGCTCAATCGATTTATCTCAGGAAAAAGAAAACATGTAGAATCAAATATTGAAGCAACAAACAAAAAACGACTAAAGAAAAATTCAAAGAAAACTTTAAAAACATCTAAGAGAAAAATAAAGAGAAAGCAAGTTCATTCCGACTATGAGTCTAGCTCAGAAGAGTTAAATGACGAGATTGTTTTTGATGATTCTACAGACACAGAACATTTTTCTTCAGAAGAAAACTTAGAAGAAAATATAGCCGATGAATCAGGCATTATGACTTGTATAGAAAAAGAAAAGTACTATGCTGTGTTGTATGATGAAGACTGGTATGTGGGTAGAATAATAAATACCGTTGGAGAATTCAAATACAAAATGAAATTTTTGAAACGACATTTGGGTTCTTTTATTTGGCCCAAACCAGACGATATCGCCAATGTTGAAAAAAAATACATATTTTATGGTCCACTCGATCTAACCGATACAAGCGAGGGTACGGGTGTCTTTAATTTAAAAAGAAACGACATAAATGAAATTAATAAAAAATACAAATATCTAAAAAGTAGCTAAGCAGTAAATTAGGAATCAAGGTTTTACTTCTTTTTTTGTCGAGAGTTTTGCCCGTATTAGACCCCTTCCTTTTCTTAGTAAAATATTTGTGTTATGTTGTGGTTGAATGAGTTTAATGTTTAATTATATATGGTACGTTCAGTTAGTAGTAAGTAATAAAGTAGGTAGGTACCTACCAAAATTAATACTTCAAATCATTAGGGGAGATTTTCATGCATCCGTCATCCGATGGTACGACGATACGAAATTATTCCGATTGATTGAATTCACTGTTTATTATTGGTCACGAAGCTCTGACCAATAACAAACCGTGAATTCAACCAATCGGAACAATTTCCTATTGTGGTACCATCGGATGATGGATGCATGAAAATCTACCCTTAGTCATGACAAAATGTCAATTTTTTTTTTGTATTCATTCGTTTGTCAATAATGACGGTAATTTTTTCATTTTGTTGTTTTTTATATAATATAAGAATATTATGTAATCTTATAGTATAATAGTATATTATATACCAAGGTAGAGAAGTTAGTCATTATATACCGAGCGTTGTTATAAACCGAGGAGCGAAGCGACGAGATTTATAATGCGCTAGGTATATAATGACTTTCTCTACCGAGGAATATATAGAATTTGTTTTTCTGGTACTAGTGTAGAAAATAAAAATTTTGACATAAATGTTTGGAATCCTTCAAATTATTTTCTCTGAAGAGCTGCTCAGAAGTGTCGCCCTCTATCAACAGCGTATGGTTATTTCCGAAATACCTACAGAATTAACAACAACAAATACAAATTTGCCTTAAACCTATATAAAGGTGTAGATCAAATAAACTATAACTAAAATTAAATCACAATGAATAAACTATACCTAACTTAATCTATAGGAAGTCATTGTCTTCCAGGTATTCCTGTACCGTATAATAGGCTTTAATCATAAGTGTTTCTTTGACTCTTTTTTTAAAGTTGTGATTATTAAGTTGTTTGAGATTGTTATTTAACTTGTTGTAAATTTTAGCTGCCATGTATTTGAAATTTTTCTCTAAGAGAGTTGTGTTATGCTTAGGATAAAGTATTAATAAGTTTTGCGATCTGGTATTAGAGTTTGAGAAATTATACTGTTCTTTATTCTTATGTACATAAATAAGACATTCCAAAATATACAGGCATGGAATTGTTAGTATTTTTAATTCTCTAAAATAAGGTCTTGCAGAGACTTGTCTTTTTACCGAAACTAAAGTTCTTATGGCAAATTTCTGAGTTGTAAATATCAACTTCCAATCCATGGACATGCCCCAGAATATTACACTCTAATTAAGTCGTGACTGAAAACATGAAAAATAAACTGTTTTAAGTACAGGAATAGTTAATTGTTTAAGTTTTAAAATTCTTAGGCAGTAACATGTTTGCCTTAGTTTTTGGTTTTAATATTCAATATGTATTTTCCAGTTCATTTTTTCATCCAACTTATATCCTAGCAATTTGATTTCCTTAACAAATTTAATGTCATTGGCTAAGGGCCCAGGTTTCTCAGATAGGGGTGATTGTCTATGAATTCAATGCATTTCGTCTTATCAAAATTTAAGTCAATTTTGTTTGCATTGCACATTTACAATACTTATATCATAATATATTACTAATATCATAATATACTTACTAATTTTGTTTTCTAAACGTTCAGTAAATTATCCAATATGTAATAGTATATTATTTTATACGGAGGAAAAGAAAAATAGCTTTTCCTTCAAATAAAATATGTTTTTTTTTTGTCTTCACATGTCGGCAAGTTTATACAAGAATTGCTATTTTTTTCTTAAAATGTCAGAAATCGGACATTGCTGATCTGGTATTTGGCAGCGAAGTTTCACTTTTCACTCCGTCGCGGCGGAGGTACACTTAAAACTCTCGCCGCCCGGAGGAAAAGTGAAACTTCGCTGCCAGCTACCAGGCGATCAATGTCCGATTTACTGACGTTTGAAGAATAAAATATTTATTCAGTATTTTAGTATGATTACTTAGCAGGTAGGTACCGAAGTAGTTAAACTTTATGCATATAAATTTGTTCCTTCCATGCCAAGGGCTGTTGAGTCTGTGACTTCCATTAAGAAATTTCTGAATCTAAATAAGTACCCAAAAGAATTTAAAAAATAAATGCCGGTCTCTAAATAAGTAGTTGTACCTTTATCAGATGGAGGATGGAATAAATAATTTCAAGGTCATTGGCGGTAGTTATTTTTTTGAAGAGGTATTTTTCAGGTATTCTTGAGTTACCAAAGGTATTTTTGGGAATTTTCAGGTATTTTTGGGTATTTTTGGGTATTTTCGGGTATTTTTGCGAAATTTACAGGTATTTTCTAAATTTCGAAATTTTTTATGGGTATTTAAGGGTATTTTTTTTTTAAAAAGGGTATTTTTGGGTAATTTTTGGAGAAAAGGGTAATTTATTGTACAAATTTCTGGCAGTGGTGTACCCCT